CGTGCTGTGTTCTTTGGGGTCCGTAGCTGGGGCAGAACACTAAATGAACTGTTGTAAGTCAAGGATTAACCTGTAACGACTTCTGATCTGTCCCTTGAGCGAGCTGGCCTTGGTGCCTTTAATACCCACTTCTGCCTGTTGACTAAAGTGGATATATTGAGCCTACTAGCTTTTGAGTGGCTTTCAGCTAGTGAATGTTTTCTATCAGACAGCTAAGGCCTTTGGCTAATGCTGCTTGTGAAGTTCACACTCCCTTCCAAGTGTCTCTCTTCGTATGCTTCCGGTTGCGAATGTCCCAGGGGAATAGTAAGGACTCAAATGTTGGAGGTTTTCAAAAATAGACTGCAGAACCGTTTGTCTGGGATGGTATAAGGCAGGGGTGAAATCCAGCAGGTTCTGGAGAACCGGTAGCGGAAATTTTGAGTACTTCAGAGAACCGGCAAATACCACCTCTGGCTGGTCCCAGAGTGGGGAGGGAATGGAGATTTTGTGGTATCCTTCCCCTGGAGTGGGGAGGGAATGGAGATTTTGCAGTATCCTTTCCCTGGAGTGGGGAGGGAATGGAGATTTTGCAGTATCCTTCCCCTGGAGTGGGTTGGGAATGGAGATTTTGCAGTATCCTTCCCCTGGAGTGGGAGGGAATGGAGATTTTGCAGTATCCTTCCCTTGCTATGCCCACCAAGCCACATCCACCAAGCCACACACACCAAGCCACGTCACGCCCACAGAATCAGTAGTAAAAACATGTGGATTTCATCACTGGTATAAGGTCTCATGCCTTGAGCGAGGGGGTGGGTGGGGTTGGACTGGAAGACCTCTGAGGTCCCCTTCCAGTCCTTGGACTCTACGTCTGCCACATCTGGGGAGAAGGAAGAGAGACAAGACCCCTCTGAGCAGAACGAGGTTGGATTTAATGCAAAGCAGACTTGGGTTCTCAGTGTGAAAGCAGTAGTTACGTAGGGCAGAAAGAGTAAGCGTGATCACTTGTGAGTTTTGTATGTGTGTTTGGGTTTTGTGTAGATGGCTCATCCCCCTTCATTCTCTTCCCCATGAAAAGCAAACATCTGTTCCATTATATAAGCTTCTGGCACCCTGATCTTAACAAAGTCTACTGCTTGATGGAACCTTCACAGACCTTTTATTTAATACGGTGGGGGGTAGATAGAAAGACTCCCACAACACAACGCAACACTCTGGCCCCCCAAGCTCCACACCGTCCTCCAACTATATGATGTTCTCCAGCCAGTAGCTCCACAACGTTCATGTCCTTAAGATGTACGTTGGCAACACTTTGAGGTGTTGTGCTATCAAGTCAACTACGGACTGAAATGGAGATGTCCAAGTGTTTTGAGCAATAATAAGACACATCTTGAAGTGCAAGCTTGCTCAAATGGAATTATGGAAATGGCCCTCCGATGGTCTCCTTCCAAAGAGTTAAAAGAAGCGGAGTCATAGCGGGTGTGTCCCCAGGGTAGGGTTGTCCCTTTGTGACGCCATCATTGTGAGCGGCGAGCGTCCGTTCTGTCTCCAAAGGGATTGGAGGAAAGGAGTTGCTTCTGCGCCTGAAGAACAGAGTTCAAACTCCATCTTGGCCAACAGATCCACCAGTTGACTGTGGACAAGTCACTTGTCTTCTCAGACTGAGATCCCCACCTGCAAAATGGGAATAATCGTGACCTCCCTTGTCGGCCTGGTGGATTAAGGAGGAGTTATGGCAATAGCAATAGCACTTAGACTTATATACCGCTTTACAGTGCTTTACAGCCCTCTCTAAGCGATTTACAGAGGCAGCAATTGCCCCCCAACAATCTGGGTCCTCGTTTTACTGACCTCAGAAGGATGGAAGGCTGAGTCAACCTGGAGCCAGTCAGGATTGAACTCCTGACAGTGAGAAATGAGTTAGGCTGCAATACTGCATTCTAACCACTGCACCACCAAAGCTCTTAATAGCAATAACCCTTAGACCTAAGCGGTTTTCAGAGTCAGCTACTTGCCCCCAACAATATGGCTCCTCATTTTATCCACCTCGGAAGGATGGAAGACTGAGTCAATCTTGAATCTGGCGAGATTCGAACTGCCAAATTACAGGCAGCCGGCAGTCAGCAGGAATAGCCTGCAGTACTGCACTCTGACCACTGCGCCACCGTGACTCATAGTTATGAGTTATGCTTAGCAAAACACTTTCACATGGTGCCCTTGACTTACAAGCACTCACCCTCTACTACAGAGCCAGATTTTGGAAATAAATCACACCGAATAGAAATGGGAAATAACGTTTTGTTCGTGAAAGGAAGATATGGACTCACAGTTCTGGAAACCGAGCTCGGCGGTCCGTAGTCGATAGAAAAACTTAAGAGGAGTAAAACTTAAATCAGCGATGGCGAACCTTTTAGAGACCGAGTGCCCAAACTGCAACCCAAAACTCACTTACTTATCGCAAACACTGCAATTTAACCTGAATAATGAGGTTTTACTACCTAAAATAATGATAAACGAGGCAGAGTTCAGCTAATTGTTGTAAGAAAAACGTGATAAATGCACTTTTATGCCCCTTCGTATTTTTTCCTGCTTTTGAAACATTACGTTTAGCAACAATAAAAAAAGAAAAACTTTTGTAATATTATTTCTCTCTTTCCCTCCCTCCCCCTCTCTCTTTCTCTCTCTCTCTCTCTCTCTCTCTCTTTCCCTATTTCTCCAGCCCCTGTGAGAGAAACACGATGGAGCTGGACTGCGGCGACGGCACACGTGCCCACACAGAGAGGGCTCTGAGTGGCACCCCTGGCACGCGTGACATAGGTTTGCCACCACTGACTTAGACGTTTCCACCATTTACAACGCCCAATACAAAAAAATTGTATTGCTTGAGCTACGTAAAAGAAAACAGAGAAGACCAGAGGACGTGGAGATAAAGGCCAAAAGGCACAATCAACAGCAGGGTATCCATCTTCACAAAAAGAGGTTTAATGGTTGAAGGATTTCTTAGCCCGGAAAACAATATATGGAGGTTTACCAAATTACACTTGGCCAAGAAGGAATATATACAGCCGCTCATCCAGAACAGACAAATCGGAGGATGTCCGTTTAACTCCAGCAGACCTGAGATAAAAGTTCCGCTCGGAGCAGAGACGGGAATCGCTGCGTGGGGATGGCTGCTGGGGCGACCAGCACGGACAAGATTATCAAAGGTCTTCTGGAAGACGAGACGAGACTCTCAACAAAGAAAAGCAGCTCTTGTCAGTAGAAAGGGAAGGAGATAGAAGCGGAGAAGAGAGAGGGGAAATAGAGAGGGGACAGGAGAAGGAGAGAAGGAGAAAGGGAAGGAGAGGGGAAGGAAGGAGGGAGGGAAGGAGAGAGAAGGAGAGGGGAGGAGAGAAGAGAGGGAGGAGAAAGAAGAGGAAAGGAGAGGGGTTGTTGTAAAAAATGGGTGAAATATGGGGTACAGGAGAAAAGAAAACAAGGGCAATTTCGTATTTTCTTTTCCTTTTCTTGAGGGTAATACTATTGAAATTATAACAGAAGATAATACGGATGCTAAACGGTTTAGACGTTATTGCATTCTAGTTAATATTTATATGAAAATTAAAATTTTGTGTAAAAGGTAGGAGTAAATAATATGGAATAAGGAAAACGGAACGTAATAATTAGGAATATGTTTATATGTAGGGAAAGGTATGACACTCAAACATCGCGCCGTTCGCACAATGATATGTATACATTTAAAATAATAATAATAAAAACTTGATAAAAACAAAACAAGGACAAGCAGCGACAAAGCCAGAACAGAAAGCCCTTTCGTGGGACCAGAGGCCACCTCCGAATCTTGACACGTGAGACTGTAGGCAGCGCAAAAAGATGGTGGATAATCAGCATTTGTTCTGTAAACTACTGGGATGACATGGAAGTCAGTTCTAATGGGTGAGAGTGAAAACTATCCTGGTTTTTCCGGATATAAAAACAGGACTAGGTCCAGCGGTGTCAAACTCGATTTCATTGAGGGCCGCATCAGGGTTGTGTTTGACCTTGGGGCGGGAGGGTGGGTGTGGCCAAGTTGGGCGTGGCCAGCTCAACATCACTTGTGTCAGGGTATCGCCTGTGGTGGCCCGAGCTCACTGCCAATGAAAATGGGCTCCGGAGCTCCGGCGGCCTCCTGCAACCCTCTGCCAGTGAAAACGGAGCTCGGGACGGTTGTGCGTAGAGGGTTGCAGGAGGCCGTCGCAGCCGAAAACAGAACTCCGGAGCCCGTTTTTGCTGGCAGAGGCTGGTCCTTCACTGTTTCCGAGGCGGAAGATGCGTGTGGTTTCTGTGCTCCAAATTTGGGTTCACCCATCAGGCTTAACTTAGATACTGCATCAACCCGCATTCTGGGTTTGCAAAGAACATGGAGTCATAAACTAATTGGTCTGAGTTCATATAAGATATTAGGCCACCCAAAAAACACCACCTAACCAAGATTAAAGCTAACCAAACCTAGTCAATTATGCAAACACAGCCATTTGCTTTTTATCTGCCTTACAACGTCCTTTGTCACTTACAAAGTATGTTGTGTGATCATCCCCAGACAGACAGACAGACAGAGCAAATTTTCTTAGACGCAGCAACCCGCAATTCCACTTTTTAAAACCTAAACCAGCAACCAGCTCACCCCACAATGAAGGCTTCACGGCCCGTCAAAGGCAGATTGTGGAAAAAATTATGGGATGCTGCTCATAGGCCCTCAAGCAATTCAACTCTACCTTAGACATTAGAAACAAGTTACGGACATCGGGACACAAAGGGGTCCATTATATACAAAAAACATAAAATATTCAAGAATCTTTGGAACATTCGATTTATGCCCAGTAAATTCTTGTAATTAAAAACAAACGAAGAAAAACCAATAGCATCAGATAAGACTCGGCTTCTTGAAATTAATCTCAGAAGGAACCCTCCCCAAAAAGAGCATAAAATATGGACAAAACCTCTCGATCTCTCTTGTCAAATCAAGCATCCTAAGACATTACCTGAAGCGTGGCTTGTTCCAGCTTTGCTTCCAGGGATCTATTCTCCTCTTCTAACCGGTTTCGCTCAGTTTCCAGTTCCTCAATCTTTAACCTGGAAGTGAAAGATTCGACGTTATCTTGATGGGCCTTAACGTGTTTTTTTTTTTGCATCCTTACGAATTTACATATTGCGGTATACTTGGAGTCAGGATGCTCATTTTAACCTCCCGGGGGAGGTTAAATCCATCCAAGTGGGATTAAGCCGGCTTTCCAGAAGTTGAGTGTGACCCTCAAGCTGAATCCTCCTGAAAACTCAAGTTACCTGTGCTCACGAGTTGATTTATGCAGCTGTGTCACGTTGCCGCAATGATGTGCCTCCTCTGAACCTCAAGAGGGCTAATTAAGCTAATGAAGGTTTAATTATGAAAACACAGGAACGGCCCTACGGGATGAGGGTGAAGTCCAATCTAATCTACATTTAATGGCACTGGCTTTACTCGGTTCCCAGGATCCACCGGTGAGGAGCCACAGGTGACTCTCCGATGATGCTTTTCTGGAGCTCTGAAGAACATCAAGAGGGAGAAACTTAAGACTCAAAACGAGGGCCATTAAACGGGGCTCAGAAACCAGGACAAGGACGTGGCTTTCTGATCAGCTCCGCAGCAGCCAAAAAAGCTAATATAATTCTCGGTTGTATAAATAGGCATAAAATGAAAATCACATGAAGTATCAGCACCACTTCATAAAACCTTAGTATGGCCACACCTGGAATGCTGCATCCAGTTTTGGTCACCACAAATTACAAAAGAGATGTTGAGACTTTGGAAAAAGTGCAGAGAAGAGCAACTAGGATAATTAAAGGCCAGGAGACGAAAATATACAAAGAACGGTTGCAAGAATTGGGTTTGGCCAGTCTAGAGGAAAGAAGGATTAGGGCGGACATGATAGCAGTCTTCCAATATTTGAGGGGCTGCCACAAAGAAGAGGGGGTCAACCTATTCTCCAAAGCAGGGGTGAAATGTTCCTGGTTCGGACCGGATCGCCCAATCCGGTAGCGATGGTGGTGGGTGGTTCGGAGAACCGGTAGCAAAAATCCCTGCCCCAGCCCCATGCCCAGCTGAGCCGCGCGATCATCAGAGGCTTTTTTTTTTACTTTTAAAAGCACTTTTTTTACAACCTCTTCGGCCGAAAAAATGCTTTAAAAAAAAAAAAAAAAAAAAGCCTCTGATGATCGTGCGGCTCAGCTGGGATCGTCAGAGGCTTTTAAAAGCATCTTTTCTACAACCTCTTCGGCCGAAAAAATATTTTTAAAAGTAAAAAAAAAAAAAAAGCCTCTGATAATCGTACGGCTCAGTTGGGATCGTCAGAGGCTTTTAAAAGCATTTTTTTCTACTACCTCTTAGGCCGAAGAGGTTGCAGGAAAAAAAATGCCTTTAAAAGCCTCTGATGATCCCAGCTGAGTTGCCTGATCGTCAGAGGCTTTTAAAAGCATTTTTTTTCCTGCAACCTCTTAAGGTTGTAGAAAAAATGTTTTTAAAAGTAGGAGAAAAAAAAAAGTTGGCCACACCCACCCAGTCTCATTACCCCCACCACCAAGCCACGCCCACAGAACCGGTAAGTAACCAATTTTACATTTCACCACTGCTCCAAAGCACCAGGCGGCAGCACAAGAAACAATGGATGGAAACTAACCAAGGAGAGAAGCAACCTTGGAACTAAGGAGAAACTTCCTAACAGTGAGGACAATTCACCAGTGGAACTGCTTGCCACCAGAAGTTGCGGGGGCTTCATCCCTGGAGGTTTTCAAGCAGTGACTGGACTGAAATGCTCGAGCAGGGGGCTGGACTAGAAGACCTCCAAGGTCTCTTCCAGAGCTCTGCTCTATTCTTAGTCAAAACCATCCATTTTCCAAATCCATAGCTGACATCGAGTCGCTGCTGGGGGGTGGGGGGGAGTGTTTTCATTTATTCCGGTTCAAAATGTTCCTTTAACTCCCCGCAAATAAAATTAAATTTAAAAAAACCCAACAGAACGCTTTTTATCCTCCTGGGTGAAACAACCTGTTACGCTATCGAAGTCCCGAAGCGGCCCCCGGCTACGGAGATCACCGAATGGTCTAACGTGATTTATGGGAGGCCAGGTGTAGGTGAAGGACTGGCAGTGTTAATATTACTTTGTGTTGTTTCCTCAGAAGTAATAATGTCGAGAAAGAAGAATTTTCAACGTATAACCGCTATTAAAAAAAAAATCTCTGATGAAAAGAGGCCTTTTGTTCTCCGAAGCGGGATTGGGAGGAGGAGTGGGGAGGGGGGGGCGGGTGTCGGGTGGGCAGAGATGGAGATAAAAGTCTTTTAAGCTTCCTGGAGATAATTTACTTTCCACATTAAAAGAAACAGAAGACAAAAGATATGTATTTTTTTGGTTTTTAAAAAAATACAGCCTCTCATGCATAGGATGTGAATACAAATTTTGGGGGGTGGGTGAGTGAAGGTGGAAATTAACCTGGATGCCTGAATTCTCCAGGGGGCGAGTTGTGCATATCTATGTGTGTTTCTCTGTGTGTGTGTGTGTGATTTTAACCACCCAACGTTCATGGACATAGGCAGTTAAAGGTTCGACCAGGGGTGAAATGCTCCCGGTTCGGCCCGGATCCCCCGATCCGGTAGCGATGGAGGCGGGTGGTTCGGAGAACCGGTAGCAAAAATCCCTGCCTCCCCCCCATGCCCAGCTGAGCCACGCGATCATCAGAGGCTTCTTTTTTTTTTTCTTTTAAATGCCTCTGACGATCCAAGCTGAGTTGCCTGATCGGCAAAGGCTTTTTAAAAAAGGCTTTTTAAAAAAGCCTCTGCCAATCAGGCAACTCAGCTTGGATCGTCAGACTCATTTAAAAGAAAAAAAGCCTCTGTTGATCAGGCAACTCAGCTTGGATCGTCAGAGGCATAAATGCTGAGTTTCACGATCCAAGCTGACGATCCAAGACGATACCTGACAATCCAAGCTGAGTTGCCTGATCGTCAGAGGCATTTAAAAGAAAAAAAAAGCCTCTTGACGATCAGGCAACTCAGCTGGGATCGTCAGAGCCATTTGAAAGCATTTTTTATTATGTAGAAATAAGGGTTTTTAAAGTTTTTTTTAAAAAATTGGCCATTTCTTTTCTTGGGATTTATCCATGGTTGGCCTACCAGGGGTTGAAAAGCTCAATAAATCGCGTGCCAGCGGGTGTCGCACATTGGTGGTTGTGACGAATATTTTGAGCGACAGGGAGCCGCAGCAGAGGGGTGAAAGAGCCACATGTGGCTCCAGAGCCACAGGTTGCTGACCTCTGAGATACGGATTCATGGATCTTGGAGGAGAATCAAACTTATTCCTTTTGCGGCTGCGCAAAGACTCCAAGCTAGGCCCTTGCTTGACTCCTCCCTCCACTTTCCCAACAGCAATTTCTACCTGTGCATCCTCTTTCGTCCTACTTTTCATCAGAAGGAGTCTCTGGTGGAACCATGGATGGAAGATGAAATGGGCGAACTATAGATGGTCCTACGCTCTGTTATGTCTTCTGGTAACAGCTGGTGCACTTCAATTATTGGGAGAGGTTGAATTGATGTCTACTCACAATGGGTCTGGGAGGTGGGCGGAGCTCCAAAGGTATCCTGCAGAATCCCCCACTAATCTTGGAAGGCGAGACAATATTAATTTTCCTAAGCACCCTGGAAACCACGTCTCCTTGATGGGAGGAAGATCATCATGGCAAGAGGTTGATCTCCAGCCTCGTCCAGTAATTAAGGAAGGAGCAACTTCAGACCGTGGAAAAGAATATTTGGCTTCAACTGTCTATTGCTTGGGACCCCACAAGCCAGAGGGGAGAGAATCTGGATTCTGGGTTTAGTTGGAAGAACAAGCTGGCTTGGATGCAACCATATAGGAACATTTTCATGGCTACTTTTGACGTGTTACGCTTGCTGGAAAATTGAAGCAAAGCATGCTGGCTGAGGAGTTTTGGAATTTGAAGTCTACCAGGGGTGAAATCCAGCAGGTTCTGACAGGTTCTGGAGAACCGGTAGCGGAAATTTTGAGAAGTTGGGAGAACCGGCAAATACCACCTCTGTCTGATCCTTCCCCCAGGAGTGGGGAGGGAATGGGGATTTTGCAGTATCCTTCCCCTGGAGTGGGGTGGGAATGGTTGCAGTATCCTTCCATCAGGAGTGGGGAGGGAATGGGGATTTTGCAGTATCCTTCCCCTGGAGTGGGGTGAATGGGGATTTTGCAGTATCCTTCCACCAGGAGTGGGGACGGAAGGGAGATTTTGCAGTATCCTTCCCCTGGAGTGGGGTGGGAATGGGGATTTTGCAGTATCCTTCCATCAGGAGTGGGAAGGGAATGGCGATTTTGCAATATCCTTCCCCTGGAGTGGGGAGGGAATGGGGATTTTGCAATATCCTTCCCCTGGAGTGGGGTGGAAATGGAGATTTTGCAGTATCCTTCCCCTGGAGTGGGGTAGGAAGGGAGATTTGCAGTATCCTTCCCCTGGAGTGGGGTGGGAATGGAGATTTTGCAATATCCTTCCCCTGGGAGTGGGCAGGGAATGGGGATTTTGCAGAAGGAAAAGGGTGGGTGGGGAAGATGCACACCGAGATGTCACGCGTGATGCCAAAAACACAAATGTATTTTGTATAAGTGCATTTTAATTCCTCTTCAGGCCTTACAGGACGGAAGCATAAAGCATGTCAGACGGTCGATGAGCGATGAATTGTTTGGCCTTTAAATCATCAATCAACTACCTTTGCCATGAATGTAAACTGTGTGAAACATCAGCCGGAGACAACTATTTGAGTAGTGAACGGGTGAGAATTTACAAAATCTCTTTTCTTTCCCTGTTGGGAGAGAAAAGCCATTTCCCGCTTTAGAAGTATGGAGTAGCTTGGAGAACATCTGCTAGTAGGGTGTAGGAGCTAAAATAGTTGGATTTGCTCCAGGGGTAAGTACTACCTACCTTTACTACCGGTTCGCAACGGGGCCGCGTGCGTGCTCTTCTGCGCAAGCGCAGAAGCTTTTGCACATGCGCAGAAGCGTTCGGATGATGCTTCGGGGTTGGTGGGCGGAGCCTCCCACCGGTTTTACTACCAGTTCTATAGAACCGGTCCGAACCGGGGGGGGAGCAACCACTGATTTGCACTGGGGAAACCCAAGTGTAGAAAGGCAGGCAAAGCTGGAGGGCGGAGTTAAACATGTCAGAAGCCTGGAGTCCTTGCGTTGCCACAAGCAACCCCTTGAATTCTGTTGACTCGTATCTGGCACTGATTCAAATTTGAACTTTAGTTGATTAGATTCTTGAGTATAGGCTGAGCAGTAGGTCCTTGTAAATTGCAACTGAACGTACAGTCCTTTGCGTCTGATACCAGGTTCAAGTTTCTTGATAACCAGAGACCTCACCAAGTGACTCTGGACAACCAGGTCTCTCCCGACTCAAACAGACACGGGGCTGCTGCTGTGGTGGTGGGGCAGAAGAGAGACCACCCCACATATGAACTGCCTTGAGCAAGATGCAACAAGCCCAACCTGCTGTGAAAATTTAAAATGAGGGTGAAAGTTCATTCTCCGAGCTTTGTGGGTTGGTTTCCAGATGTTTCGTTACCAGGCTGGGTAACATCTTCAGTAGAGTTTAGGGGATGTCAGTGTCGGTGTTCTTCTCCTTATATCTTTTCTTGTATCTTTTCTTTTTATGTACACTGAGAGCGTATGCACCAAGACAAATTCCTTGTGTGTCCAATCACACTTGGCCAATAAAAAATTCTATTCTATTATTCTAGTCTATTATTCTATTCTATTCTATTCTATTCTATTCTATTCTATTCTATTCTATTCTATTCTATTCTATTCTACTCTACTCTACTCTACTCTACTCTACTCTACTCTACTCTACTCGGCTTCGTGTGGCCAGTAGGGTCTTTTGATGGGTCAGGGGTGGACTTCAAAAATTTTAGCAAGGGGGTCTCTGCCCAGTTGCTGGGTGGGTGTGGCCATGGTAGGCATGGCCTAGTTGGCCTCCTGTAAGGTGGCGGTGGTGGGTGGGGTGTTTTTGCTCTCCCCGGGCTCTGGGGGCTTTCTTTGAATCTCCGGGAGGGCGAAAACGCCCTCCCCAGGTTCCAGAGGCCCTCTGGAGGCCTGAAATGGGCCCGTTTCCATCCTTCCTGAACTTCAGGTAGGCCCGTTTTTCGCCCTCCCTGAGCCTCCGTGCGCGCCCTACACTTACCAGTGGGGACTCCTGGGAGGGGAGGGGTGGGGTGGGCGGGGCCAGCCAGGAGTAGGATTTGTGGGTTCTCCAAACTGCACAGAATCTTAGCTAGAGGTTCTCCCGAACCCCTGCGAACCCCCAGCAGCCCCACCCCTGGGCCAGGTGTGGGTGTATCTTGTGATGGGTTTTGTGATGGGGAGGTTACATCAGGGGAGGAAATCAACCCACGAGCTCGGAGAACGAAACCTTCACCCCCATCCTGCACCCGAGCTACAGATTCCCGCCACGATTGCAAAGTTTAAAATGTCAGCAGTGCAAATTGTATACATTTTCTCCGAACTCCCTGCTGCTTCAGAAGGGTCCCCGCCCTACTCACTCTCAAAATGAAAGCCGGATAATTTTATTTCAAGAGGCAATCTACCTGTCAGCTTGGCACGCCATAAATTGGAAAAGTAATCCATCATCTATAAGTGGCATCCGAGTTCATCTAATTAGTGGATGCCAGAACTTGAAAAGACAAAGAATGCTTATGGATTTGGTAAGACCTCTCTCTCTCCCTCCCTCCCTCCCTCTCTTTATTTTGTTATCTGTACATGTGTACCTTTGCATGTATGTGTGTGAGAAAAAGAGACTGTGAATTCTTGTTAGAAATTCTGTATACAGCCCTACAGAACAAACAATGCACCGTCCCCATGTGCTTTTCTGCTTAACTGCAAGAAGGAAACTTCTCAGAGAAAAGTCATGGAGTATACCATAGATGCAACTACAAACTTATAAACACCGATGTCTACTATCTCTACTGAATAGTGCGCTTGTGCGCTCTCTCTCTCTCTCTCTCTGGCTTCCAAAGTCATTAATCCTGGTCTGGGATCCTTGCTAGTTTGGGGCGGAGGGGTTATCCTGGGCAGGATCCCGTGGCATTTGTCTGAAAGTTCACCACGCATTATTGATGTCCTTCAACATGTGTTTTTTGTCTATTAACATCACAGCAGTGGGGAAAGTTACCAAGACCCTGAATGTTGGTTATCATCGTTATTGTAATCATAATCAGTATCTGATTATGATATACTGATGTTATACTGATCCCCAGGTTGGGACAGAAGTTCTTCTAGGAGCAGTTATGGAGTTGGAAGAGACTTGACTCCATCTCTTTCTCCTCAGCTCTATCACTATGAGTAGAAGGGAGGACATTCACCTCAGGGTATCCAGCTCTTCTTTGGCGAGGAAGTTGCTGGGCTCTACGGTGGACGCTTGTCTCTTCAGCATCTGAAGTTCTACCTCCAGCTACAAAATAAAGAGAACAGGTGGGAAGTTAGCTTTGTTTGGTGTGGTCACCAGACATTGAGACACAAATAAGCCTTCCATACCCATTGAAGTATGAGATGAAGACAATGTGATGGTCGGTCGCATGGTTTAAAGTGAAACAGACTGCAAACTCATATTATGGGATTGATATCGCCCATCATTCGTTGAACAAGCCATCATGTTTTGGTTTACTAATCACGCTGGGCTATTGCAGCTGGGTTGATACCTCCTGCTAAATAAAAATAATCAATGTCTATGGAGATTCTCCGTCATCCAGGTCATGGTTGTCCCAAAGATGCTTTTTCAAGAGGACTTTCTGGTTTTTCTTCGAAGACATTTTGCTTATCATTCTCATCCGAGAAGCGAAATGTCTTCAAAGAAAAACCAGAAAGTCCAGTTGCCTCTTGGAAAAGCACCTTTGGGACAAAAGCAACCAATAAACCCTATTATTAAGGCTCCATAACAGGCTGATAGACCTTCGTGAATCTCTATTACTAAGTTGGGACCTTGAAAATTAGAGGAATGACTTCTTGGTCTAAACTTACGCTTAGCCCATACCATAACAGATAAATTGTATGAAATCACCGAATGAAATTAAGAGGTCCAGAGGACCAAAGCTTTCTTCACTGCCACTTTCAGGAATCACACTTATCCCTTCAGAGATGAACGTTCAACAGCAAAGAGCAACCTCATTAAAACAATTCAGGAAACTTCAAAGGGAGGGCAAGATTCCAGAGTGTACGGCTCCAAAATAAAGAGGCTCCTGCTTTAGGTGTGAGTAGAATGCTTGTGGGTGTCTGGGGAGAGTCGAAAAGGGAGAGCAAGCCATCTTCTAATGTGTGTCAGATGCTATTTGCCCTGATGATGTTATGATTCACATGATGCTATTTTGATACCGCTCTGGGTTTTGTCAGACACCTGTGGGAATCCGCCAAGCTGTTTTATCTGACTTACCTTTGGATTGTAATGTGAGATGCAAGGCACAGATTTCCGTGCTTTTCAATGAATCATCAACCGTGGAAGACACATTTGGAGAAGATAATAGAGTTTCAGCTGTTCCTTACTGAAGGATTAAGTGTGTCTCTCTCTTGGAATGATTTTTAGAAGAGGTCTTTTGCCTCCACAAGTCTTAAATAAATTCTGACGAAATAAATTCTGATAGTGCCTAGGCAGATTTTACATCAAATTTTGGGTCATTCCTATTAAAAGTTCACGAAATTCCTTCGATGTCACACTCCACCTCCAATCGGTCTTCTCATCCCACCCAACCTTGACAAAAATGAGGTCTTTTTTGTCATTGGTAGCCTCGCATTGCAACAGATAAGGACATACCTTCAATTTTGCAGCTACTAAGATTGTTGGGTTTTCAACCCCCGGTAGGCCAACCATGGATAAATCCAAGAAAAGAAAAGTTTCAGAAGAAAACAGAACGTTTAATTGAACTACATATGCTAGTTTTGTGGCCGCTCAAGAAATAGTCAGGTTTTGTGGCTCCCAGTGTTTTCTTTTCTGTGGGAAACAGGTCCAAATAGCTCTTTGAGTGTTTAAGGTTGCAGACCCCTGCCCTAGTCAGCCAACAGGAGTGCTGATTTACCCCCCCAGCTTACCAAATACTTAGGAGGCGAGAGCTTGGCAGCACAAGGAAACAACAGCCAACGACTTAATAGGCATGGATCCACACCCCAATATATTGTTGGCTGTCATTTGCTTGTGCTTCCCTGGCTATTTTTGTGCCTGTTCGTCCAACAATCTTTAGCAGATGCAAAATTTGAATGCATGTCAACAGCCAACAGCTTACTAGCCAACCATCAACACCCCAATCAACAACTAAAAAGCCACATGCTTTTGTGTATAAATGCCACACAAAGACGAGCCCAAAACACAGTCTGCCAGAGAGAAGTTCCCCGAGGATGGACGGGCTCCAGCATGAGTCCGAAAGCTCGGAAGGCAAAACCTCTGGTCCAGGGGTGAAATCTATTTACCTTCCTTACTGGTTCGGAAGCACACGGGTCACATGCATGTGCAGAAGGTAAAAAAACATTACTTCCTGGTTAAAACCAGGAAGTAATGACACCCGGGCGGTGATCGCTACCGGATCGCTGAACCACAGGGAAAAATCGCTACCGGATCGAGCGATCCGGTCCGATCCGGGAGCATTTCACCCCTGCTCTGGTCCCGTTGACCGACTGGAGATTGGATCCTGCAAAACTAGTCTTCTCTAGTTTTCGATTTCTTGAAATAAGAACAAAAAAGCCCAGGTCACAATGCAGAGCCTTCTCCACAAGTGGAAAAACAACAAACAACGTGCCTCAATTAGAGATGCAAAGCCAAGAACACACATCCTGAAGTCTGTGGCCTAAGGCCCCAGGGGAAATAAAGCATTAGCATACAATATCCTTCGAGAAAGACGATGGGAGGCTCTGGCAGCATCTTAATTCCACTCTGCAGGATGAGGCCCAAAGGCAGGGAGGATGGCTTCAGCGCTAGAGGTAATATATGTGTGTATTTGACTCCATGGACAGAGCAGGTAGGAAATGGGAGCTGGCCGACCACCAAGGAACCACGCTTGGATTAGCAACTAGTTGGAAATGGAACTACAGGAACAGAGGAAGATTAGCCAAGATGGGCTATCTAAGTATGTAGAACCCATCATGCAGAGGAGAAATGACACTGCGGATGATTGATTCTGCCAACTCAACCAGGAAGGGACAAAGTTTTGCTAAGATTAAAGGTTTCCCATGTCCAGTCACGTCCGACTCTAGGGCACGATGGTCATCTCCGTTTCTTGGCCAAGGGAGCCGTCGTTGTCCAAAGACACTTCTGTGGTCATGTGGCCAGCATGGCTACATGCCAAGGTGCGTGGAACACAGTTACCTTCTCACCGAAGTGGTACCTATTTATCTACTCGCATTTGCATGCTTTCAAACCGCTAAGTAGGTGGGACCTGCAGCCAGGAACGGGAGCTTCCTCCATTGTGTCGAGCTCGGGTTTCGAACCTATCTGGCAAGCTCAGCGTCTTTAAATGCTGAGCCACCGCGGTCCCACACACCATTTTATTGCCCACCCACCTCCTTGGATGAAGACCCCCAAGCAGCACAAAGGGTCAAGACAGTAGTGACAAACCAGGGAAGAATGGCAGCCGCAGTTGTTTAAAATTACCATTCTGAACCTTAAATGATGTCTTGTGGCCAAATTTGGAGCTGGATTTCGGTGGGGAGGTTCCACTGAAATGGAGGACCCACCACCAACTGTATGGAGCCTGGGAGTACAGATGTCCAACCTGGATCTCACAGAGCACAGGAACAGGAGAAAAGGAGCAAGGGTTGGGAGCAGGTCTTCTGAAGGACCATCCTTCTCCATTTTTTATTTGTGATTCTATCAGCAAGACTGATGAAGCTGGCAAGCCATGAGAAATCGGCCTTTCTTGATATCAGCCCTACTGGGAGAGACACAGCCCACTCTCTTCATGATTCTCCTATCTTAAAGTGTGGGAACAATCCTCTTTAAGAATCTCTTTGAAAGAAAAGGATGGAAGGAACGAGAAGTGGATAGATGAAGGGAGAGAGGGAAGTGAAGGGGAGGGGAGGAGAGGAGGGGAGAGAAGGAGAGGAAAAGGGAGGAGAGGGAAGGAGAGGAAAGTAGGGAGGGGAGAGGGGAAAGGAGAGAGGGAAGGGGAGGGAGGAGTAGGAGAAAGGGAAGGAGATGGAAGTGGAGAAGAGGAGAGAGGAGAGGGGAGAGAAGGAGAGGAAAAGGGAGGAGAGGGAAGGAGAGAAAAGTAGGGAGGGGAGAGGGGAAAGGAGAGAGAAGAAGGGGAGGGGAGGATAGTAGAGAAAAGGAGAAAGGGAAGGAGAGGGAAGTGGAGAAGAGGAGAGGGGAGAGGGGAGAGAAGGAGAGGAAAAGGGAGGAGAGGGAAGGAGGGAGGGGAGAGGAGAAGGAAGGAGACAGAATAAGAGGGAAGCAGAGAGGGGAAAGGAGAGAAGGAAGGGGAGGAGTAGGAGAAAGGGAAGGAGAGGGAAGTGGAGAAGAGGAGAGGGGAGAGAAGGAGAGGAAAAAGGAGGAGAGGGAAGGAGAGGAAAGTAGGGAGGGGAGAGGAGAAGGAGAGAGGGAAGGAGAGAGAAGTGGAGGGGAGAAGGGAAGGGAGGGAAGGAGAAGGAAAGAGATGGAAAGAGATCATTGTCACTGTAAAATGGAAAATGTGATGTATTATATAGAAAAATGTATAATATATATATTTTTAAAGAATCTCTTTGAAGAATTACAGAACATGATGGCCCCCCAGCATGGCTGGCTGGGGAATTCTGGGAGTTGAAGTCCACAAGTCTTAAAGTCTGCCAAGGTTGGACACCCTGAGTTAGCCCCTTCCCAAGCCCCTCCATTCATCTCCGCTCTGTGGTTCCAATCTGAAAGCATCATGGAGTGATGGGCCACGAACTGTAAGAAGGTCCAGAAATTCTTCAAAGAGCACCTTAAAAGGGATTGAAAACTGCCTCCTAAAACTGCCCTCACCTGCATTCTCATATCGTTGAAAGAAAAGAAGGAAGGAAGAAAGAAAGAAAAAAAAAAAGACCCCATAATTCATACCGGTTGGCCGGTGAGGTGATCACAGCGAGAAATACTGTCCTCAATTTTATGATTACTGGGTTTCTCAGGGGTTTTTTTTTGTTTCCTTCTTACTTTTTTCAGCTCAACCCATTGTAGATGGCTCGGTTCAAGCCGGCGCTGAAGATAATTCCAGGGAACGGGGTATCCGAGGGGGGAAACCAGGCAGCCTAGCAGGAGATTTTCAATTTCACCCCAATGTTCCCACACGAAGCCATTTATCACACCCCACGCCTTTGCTTTGCAGCCGAAGGTTGCAACGAGGTTTGTTATTATTATAGTTCGGAGCTGGTCTGTGCGGCTCCCAAGAACGAGCCCCAGTAAACAGCCTATTTATCATGGGATAAGCGGACTCAAGGCCGAGTGCCCGGCTGCCACCT